CATAACTTTCAATCAACCTTTTAACTGCAGAATGGCAGGGGCTGGTGTGTGTGTGTGTGTGTGTGTGTGTGTGTGTGTGTGTGTGTCAGAACAACAAGTGACTTCTAATGAAACCCCCTCCTTTCGACGCAATTTCTGATATCAGATTATAAAGACGACTAACGGCAAACTGCTCATCAAGTTCTGTACAACAGGTACTTCCCTGGCTGCCTGATTTGGTATTCTGATAAGTCAGTATGAGGCTACAGCAGCACTGATTCTAGCAGGCTGTGGCAAGTACAGCAAACAAGCACAGTCAGATGTGGCAGATAGTATTTCTGCTGCTTAAATCTGCCTTTTATTCACTAACATCACAATGACAACTGTTGAACTTGTCCAGACCTGCTCAGTCCAAGCAACATCCCAAGGCCACCATCACATGAATACAGTATAGATGTGTTTTCCTGACATAACAAAAGGTTGTCATGGTACATGTTTTGTACTTTTTTCTTTGCAAGGTTGCGTAACACCAAGGAGAGGACAGAAGATACAACAGGGAGCCAATGCTAGACGAAAGACACGGAGAAACAGGGAGAAGAAAGAAAAGTTTTGATTTCCGCACCATCTGCCTGCAGTTGCACGCACTTTCATGGTCCGAACCATAAATCTACAAGTTAAAATCTACAGAAAAACAAAACCGACTTGAAGGCCGAAAGAGCAGAGCAATTGGAATCTCATCATTTCACTTCCTAAAGTGACCGAGTGAACAGCTGTGAAGCACAAAACGGTGAGGAGTTGGGAGATGCAGGAGGAGGCAGGCGTCTCTCTGCAGGACTTGGCTCCTCAAAAGAAAAAGGGAAAACAGAGGAATGGAGGAGGCTTAGAAAGAGGGGTTGCGCAAGACAAACACATCCCACTGTGGGGCTGAAATGTTATTGTAAGGTCACTTGTAGGGGTCCAGCGAGGCAGACCCTACAGGCTCGCTTCCAGTCACTCAGTCCACTCTCTCTCTCTCTCTCTCTGGCAAAGGGTGTAACACAGCAGCCTGAACTGTGGAGTCCCAACAGTGTCCAGTATCATCAGATGCTTATATTTAACACCAAACAACTGTCAATTAACAGAGATCTGTTATTCATACGTCTGGTAAATCCTGCAAGTCAGACCAGGGGAGCGCATAAAGTTGATTAGCATCTGAATGGTAACAGCCTGGCACCTCCGCGTGCACTTTGTGAGCAGCTCCATGGCTTTCTGCGAAGGTTAACGGGAGCAAAAGGAATTCTATTTAACTGAACCCAAATCCATTCAGCCAGCAGGAAGAGTGTGTGTGGTCTTAAAACACTCCCGGAGCCAACTGCCCAACAAACTAATGAGCATTGTACACACACAGACCTTCGCGTGAGTCAATAGGATTTTCTTAAAAAACAGAAACGGAGAGGAAAATTCTCCTCATGTGCACTGAAGCATTAGCATACAGCTGAAAATGACAAACACTGAAAGCGGACAATGCCTTGTTGAAACTCCACATGAATGCTAATTGAAGTGGCCATTAAAGTAAGTCAATGAGAGGAGTGTTGCTCACAGGGATTATATGACCCCTGCTAAAGTAAACACCAACTGACCTCCATTATGACTACTTATCACAGCTACAGCCCTTTCCTTTCTTTCCCCTTGGAGGGGTGAAGTCTGACACATTCCTCTCAACGAATGTTTCCTCCTGAACTGACAGGGTCGGCAGTGTATGCCGATGGATGGGGAACACGGATTGGTAGAATGGTGGTAACATTATTTCCGTGATAGAAACAGAGGGATCGTAGCAGCAGGAATATTAGTTCCACCTGGTTTAGAGGAGAAAGAGGTTGAGCGGGAATAGTTGTTCGTATACCTCTGAGGTTTTCCAAGTTGCCCCGTGCTCCTTGGATGTGTCATTATCATGACTTTTCTCAGGGTAATTTAAACACACATATATATTCAGATCTCTCGTAACTTCTTCACACGCACCTCTAAATGGCAGCGCCTCAGTAAAAACACTCCCCCGTGTATTGTGAGTTCTAATAGATTCCACAGGGATGAGGAGTGTTTAAAATGAATTACTGTTGCTCTGTCCAACCTGGGGGACCGCTGCACATAATAATCCGTCCATTGTTCTCCACAAATGGACCCAGACTCAGTAAATAGGGGGTACGGAGAGCTGAGAAAGGCTGGGTGAGAGTAAAGGTCAGCTCATGCCTTGTTTTAACGACAGCACATTAACTTAACTTACTTCCTTCGACTTTACACTGGTAGTAAATGGGTGGAAATGCAAAGATAAGCAGGGAAAAAGAAGGGAGACGTGTCCAGAAGGGTGGCAGGCAGTGACTTGATGCGTTGAACAGCCGCACAGACAGTTGAAGTAGAAGAAGAGAGATATTTGACTTCCCTTCAGAGTTCAACCGTGTGGGCTGAAACACAAAAAAGCAACATTAAACTGATTTTATTTCTAATACTTTAATGGGACATTAAAGTGCTAGCTGGGCAAGAAAAAAACAACAAAGTGCTACACTGCAGCACATCCAAGCTCACAACCTCCCCGCCCCCCTAGTCTCTCCAGCTTGGCCCACGAGCGAGAACACCACTGTTGCACGTTCTTACTATTCAGGAGCTATTTAGACTCTGGGGCATTTGGTTAGTGAGAAACTAGCCTCATTACGGTTTAAGGAAATGGAAAACTGTCTGGGAGCCAAATAGCATTGTGATTGTAAAAGCCCTTGGAATACAATTTATCTCTTAGTACGTTCTTGTTATGAAACCATGATGTAACTCTGCTATAAAATGTACATTTTCCAACGAGGTTGCAGAGCAGTTTGCAGGCTCTAAACTTCACCAGGCGGCTCCAGAGGTGAAGCAAACATGTGTGTGGTTTAGAAAATAGGAAATAAAACAGAGTCACATACATGCACAAAAAGGCACGACTGTATTTGCGGCCTGTTTCTCATTAAAAACGCATCAGAACAGTACCATTCAGTGTGTGTGTGTGTGTTCATGATTAGCTAGTCCTTGTGCATAACAGAGACACCTGGTGCCTCTCTGTTTTTCCCAGGGTGCATTTCTGCAGATCCATATGTCCGGGCTGCTGCATTCCTCGGTGAGTGGAGCCCAGTGGTCCCCGGGCCTGTCACCACATTAGAAGCTCTGCTGGGACACATCACTGAGCACCTCCTCCGGCTGCTGGGGGTGGCAGAGCACCAGAGGGGGAGGAAAGAAGGCGTTGGGATGGAGGAAGTGCGGGGGTTCCTGGGGGGGTCTTAAGAAATGATTCTTGCTTGGCCAGTCGCAAAGTCGTGGCAGTGGAGAGAGGGAGGGTCTGTATGTGTGTGTGTGGGCAGGGGGTCCGGGGTCAGATGTCGCCTGATGACTGACAGCAACAGGCTTAAAATCGTTCACCCAAACGTACTGTCGAAATGTTTAGATAACAGCAGTAAAGTAACACTTCCAATGTGTTTTTACTGTTTTACACACAAGGGGTCTTGTCATTTAAAATGTCATTCACATTTGTCAAAGATGTCATCGTACGTTGTTAAATTTTACAGGAACAGTTTTACAGCTTTTCTGGCCTTCGCTGCAATGTAACAGTAACAAGTTTGGAGCTAAAACCGCCTCGACTGCATTTCACAGGTTGTCAGAGTCAAGCTGTTGGATTTGGACTGTAACACAGAACTCACTGTATCACTGCTGCTGCTGCTGCAGGGAGAACTGTGGAAGATTTACTCTTCACAGATAGTCAAGCATCTTTCAAAATCACCTCACTGCCAACTACATATCTACCGATGTGTCCATCTGTCTGTGCATCTGCAACCACTTTCAGAGAAATCATGAAAACAGGCTGTACAATTTTTCCCTTTTGTCTGCCATTATATCAATTGGACCTCCGCTCTTCATCATCCGTTTGGATTCTTCTTTGGGTTTCTCCTTCACATTCTGTTGATCTGTAATTAAAATTGCCCATCTAATCTTATTTAGCCTTCACGTCTTGTTTACTTTTGGTTTAGTCGTGCCGTGAAGGCACGGCTGCCACGCTGTGAATAAGGCATTGTCTGCAGACCCACAGATCTAATCTCCCCTTCTCAACCGCCTCCAACCCCCTCCTGCCTCTCTACCTTGAGCCCTGATAGCCACATACAGGTATTATACCTATCGGACGCCACTTCCATGCTGAGCTGGAGAGAACAGAGTGCGCAGTAGAGTCCGCTTGTTTTGCCAGTGCATGGTCTTCAGAGGAAATGTGTCTGGCTTTCAGATTTCTCTCATTAAAGGGAAGTTTTGCCTCGGACTCATGCTGCTGGATTGCATCAGACATGGTTCAGTAGCCAGAGATGGTGGATGAAATCATAGAAATTGTCTTGACAGCTATTCATGACCTGTTGACAACCTCACTGTAAGTTGTCTTTATAAAGAAAAGTATTGATACTGGCACAATAAAGTACAGTGAATTGTGGTCAGACTGAGGTCTCCCACTCTCCACTCACTGTTTCGGTCAAGAACACACACACACACACACACACACACACACACACACACACACACAGGCTGATGTGAGTCAGTCCCTTGGCCAGCCGCGGGAGAGCTGGACTCTCACACTGACTTGTGTTCGTTCACCCTGGGAAGCTGATGGATGATGTTTGTTTAGTTTAGCTGTAGTGAATGTGCGCACACGCTCTCTCTCACACACACACACACACACACACACACACACACACCCATGACTGAAACACACACAAACTGGAGGCAGGGGTTGGCCTGCCCTCTCTCATTCCCCTGCCCGGTGTTGATTTTGGGCCCTGTTTAGAGATTTTTTTTAGTTCTTAGTTCTCCGTTTCTTACTTCTCGGTGTAAAAAAATTAAGAGCTAACTGAGACTTTCTTCATGCTCACATGAAACCAACCTGTCAACTTCAGTTATAATGAGCTATGAATCTGGTGTTACTTCCAGCTTTGAAAGACGCAATATTAGTAGGAAAGAAGGAAGGTTTATGAAACAACTCTTACCTCTTGCACAGTCGGTCAGTAAAACAGCCTCAAACAGGAACAGCATGATCTTCAGGACGCCCATACTGTCCGAAGACAACTTCATGTCCCCTAAATCTGAGAAACACATGATCACTGACACATGGTACATGCATATTATCCTCCATGTGGCTATCTGAGGATTGAGAGAAAAATAGTTGCTGTTCAAGCCAACTGATTAAAAGAATACTTTCTTAAATGAAATATAACATTACAATAGACAAAGGCAATATCAGTGATTGTACCATCTATATCATATCAGTCTTCATGTCACTAAAAGACCTTTTTATCTTGCTGGACAAAGTCTTGTATGGAGTTGACCTTAGTGGTTTCCAAACTAGAGTGCAGGTACACTTTAGGGTCTATAATGAACCCCAAATGAACTAATTTTAATATAAATATATATTTTTTAAATAAATCTATATACATTCCACATGTGTAGGGTCCACATACTGGCCCTGGCACAGTTTAAGAAGTCCTGGTTAATGTAATATTCCCTTTATATGTCGACTAAATATTCAAATAACCAAGCTACTTGAGGTCTCAAATGGCAAACTGTTCATGATAACGTCTGTTTTAGCTGGTATATCTTTGCTCATAGTAAAAAAATCACTGATGCTCCTCACTTGTAAGCATAAAAATACATAGGAACATTTTGAAAAAAAAAAAGGAGGAAGGGCCCGTATAAATGTGTCGATAACATACCTGGATATTCAATGAATGAAGTCAACCCCGTGTCAGCCTCTTGACAGAGATGTTTTCAGCTGCAGTGTTGAGCCCATGAATCAAAAGTGACAGTGGTCGACTTTTCACCGACCTCTAACAGACCAGCACGCGCTTGTATCCGAGATAAAATAACGGAATCAAAAGCGGAATAAAACCGGATGCTTCCATAAATTACAACAGAAGTTTCATATGCTAATTTTATTTTTCAAAAAAGTAAGGGCAGTCTCCTCCCTGCGCGAGTCTGCTTCGTCCACCAAGTGACTTTTCCAGTGCGCGCAGCAGCGGAGGCTTGTTGTCCGTCCCAGCGCTGCAGCTGCGGGCCAATCACAGCCTGCAGAGGCCGGACACGTTTAACTCTTTATCTCTCACCCACACAAACCTCTTCATCACCAATTCCATTATCATCACCGCTGTAAGCTTAATGTACAAGAAAAGAGATAACAGCTGGAGATTAAAGGAGGATACTACGCAGATATCGCCGGGAAATTAAGTCCATATGGTTTCAAAGGGAGGTTACTACTGCTATTCTCTTATATGGGATTTAAAAATAAAATAAAAACTTTCAATAAAAGTTATTAAGTACTGGGCTTCACAGACTCCAATATCCACATTATAATTAAAGTATTAACTTCAGAAGTTTTAAAATCCTACTGAAACGTCTGGCATACAACCTTTTCTCTATTTAAGGGTAAAAAATTAAAACATTTGGTTCAGTACTGTATCTCCATGTGCAATGACTGATAAATACAATTTTAATACAATGCCATGAACAGGTGCTGCCACCCAGTGGTTCCTTTCTTGACCAGATCTGTTCCTGTAATTTAGGGATTCCACAGAACAGTTAAACTGTTTCACTCATTATACTGTATGTTGGCAGCATGTATGTGTCCTACTGCTGTGTTTTTGCCTCTAATCCAGTGCTGAATTTTTTGGGTCTCTGAAAAGAATTGTTTTCCTGTGCTGGTTCTCGTATGGTGCACTGTAACTTTTGGGGCCTATCTTGTACTTTCTTAGAGGCTTACTTCAGCAATTTGTTTCCCAAGAGATGGATAAAAACATAAATTAAAGGATAAAAACATAAATTAAAGAAGTAGAAGCTGAGACATCCTGACTTTTAGTCTCTAGTATGGCAAACAACAGCATAGTTGGACCCTCCCTGTCTGGCAAAGACCCACGTCTTTCAAACCCCATTTCCCCATTCTGTAACACAAACTTTCTAAGAAAATTGCTATCTTCATGACCGAGCCAAAATAAAACAAGCTTTCTTAAGAATGCTCCATCCGGAGCCACAGAAGACATATAACAACTGTTTTCACGAGTTGAGGTGGCTCCTCAGCTTGTGAAAACAGTTGAAATGAGCATCTCTGAAGAATATTCAGTCAGTCAAAACAAAACAATACTCAACTTTAACAATTGTCAACCAACTCAACTCTTGAAAAGAGTGATTTGTGGTTCGAGACAATTCAAGTCACATTAGAGTTGCACTTCGTATATTGTGGTGGCTGCAGATCAGGGGTTAGAGTGGATCATCCTTCGATCCCCCGCTCCTCTTGTTTGCATGTCAAAGTGTCATTGAGTGAGACAACAAGCCCCGCTCCTAAAATGCTTAGGATGGGTTGAATGCAGAGGTCAAAGTTCATGTATGTATGCAAAGTATGCAGCAATTAAAGTGAAGTTTAAGTTTTGAATCCACACTATTGACATCTTGGATTTCATACATTTTCTGTGGAGCTGTACATCAGTATGACATTACCAATTAGGGGGCGGGACCAGGCCCCTTTTTTTAAATTATTAGACTATAATAGACAGTACGCCGATCAATGCAGGACACAAATCTACTGACACTTTTAAAAGGCAGAAATTCAATGGTACTTTGCTGTAAAAATAAAGTGGAGATGTTATCAGTCAACCTTTTAAACAGGAAAAAGTAATTTATTTCAATATACATCGCATTTAAAACTATATAACATTATTTGTTTGTTGAATACTTTACACAGCTCTTATCATGGAAATTAATTTTACAAAATAAGACCAAACTCTGAAACAATAACCCTTTAATTACTGCATGATTCCTTGTATTTTACATAAAAGTAATTATAGCTTGATACATTAGTTTTGTTCTTTATAAAAGGAAAAAAAAAAACCTTTTCAAAGTGAGTTCATACGTCCTTTGATGAAAATAAAATTGATCCAAGAGTAGTGAATGATTTTGATTATGTAATGCCTGAGAAACTGCTTTAAGTCAGAGCAGAATGGACATGATGTGATATCTAATTGATGTTGCTCAAAAGGTCCATTATTTGACGGGCCACTCTCAGACACACAAACTCTGTTGTTTCATGAGCATGGAAGATACTTTGTACGTAGTCATTCAATGGAAGCAGATTCAAGAGCAGAAAGGAAGTCAGGTGCAAATTATGTCAATTTGGGAGCAAAATATCTGTTCCTGTCCAACAGTACCACCAGAGCCAAAGCTGGAAATAGTTATTTGTAAACCCAAATCAGCACAGCTTATCGCCTCGGAAATGGCCTATAACTACAATTTAAAATAGCTAAGTGCCGTCTCTAAAATGTGCAGGACCATTGCAGTTAGTAGTAATATTGCACTATAACGAGCGTGAGTAGGAAGAGAAATCAATGGGCATCAATCGGCCTGTAGTCCGTAGGCCAGCACCTTAGAAGGCCTCTGGTTCAGAACAAATTGTACACAACATGGTGATGAGGGCACTGAGCGAAGAGAGGTCAACTCTCCACTAGGGGGCCTTCAAGACCCGACAGTGATGACTAGAGAATCCCTTTTAATCATCTCAGCCTGCAGCGGAGTCCTCAGAGGAAACTGAACATGCCACGGTGCAACTGTAAAAGCAGTGGGCACAGTCCATTGCCATAAAGAGCTGATCGGTCAAACTTGTTGGAACCTTGACGCTTTTTTGACAAAGTGATAAAGAATTACACATTCATTGCCATTAAAAAGCATGAAAGAATCTTAATATAAAAGCTGTCTGTTTTTCATTTTGCTTTACTGGGACTGGTAGTGTGGGGAAGTTTGCTTTCCAGTTCCCATATAAATAGCAAATAGTTAACTGAAGACATTGTAGTGTAGCTATTACCAGATGTATCCTTATTTACATAGTTTTCATGACTTACATTCTTTTGAGTAATCCGAGTCCCGTGGGAGCCCTGGCACAAATGTAGGAAGCTCGCAAAAGAATAAGAAAATATGTCACAAGTCCTTTCATTTACACCTAAAGCAGCAAATCAAGCAAGGTGGCCCGTTTTGATTTTGTGCTGCAAACTGCTACAGAGGACTGTTGCACAATGCCAGTTCAAAATCTGTTAATGCCTGTTCATCCGCTCTCTCCTTTACACCTCTATAATCAGGCAAGCATTTGTAAATCCTTCTTGTGTGTTGAATGGGAACTGAAATCAAACCCTTTGGTTGCCAGTCTCTCCGAAGCAACAGAAACGGGTCGAATCATCACTTGTGGCTGCGTGTCTCGTCTCTGCTTTGTCATCTGTAATGGCCTCACACCGCAGCCTTGTACAGCAGGTACGACGACGATCCATTAGGTATACCGGAGTCGTGTGGCATTTGCTTTGTTCACAGCCCTCGATCTGTCCGTTGCATATGTTTGTTGTGGCGGACTGTGTGCTTTGTGGAGTTAGATGCCGGCCTTGTCGCTGTAGAAGGGTGTGACGTGAAACATGTAGCAGTGTGTGCAAACCCTAACGGGCTTCACCTGGCCATACCGGGGCAAAGGAGCAGAATGGGAAGAGCAGCGCGAGCAGAAGATCTGAAATGACACGGTATATAATGTATCAGTTACTAACCATATGATGGCAACACACAATGTATGAATCACCAGTTTGATCAACTACACATCATGAGAATTCTGCCACCTAGACTCCCTCAGACAAAGAGACATCGTACCTTTCCACAGCTTCTACAGTGATGCTTCCTGCGGATGACAGTGAAGGGAGCCTTGCAGGCAATGCAGGAGTTGCAGGCTTCATCTGGGACCCAGTCCGGAGGGTCTACACAGAGAGAAACAGTTAACACAAGGTAGGACAGTCACCATCAGCCCGTCTGCTGCAGGAAAAAAGGGTGAAAAGGAACCGATTAACAGAACTTTGAGTGGGTCCGTCAGTGGATTTTCTGACCTTCGAACTGGCCGTCCCGGGCCTTGGCTGCCAATTCAGATGAGGAAATGGTCTCCTGACAGAGGGCACAGTCCTCCAGCACAGCACTACGGAGAACAGGCCCTGATGGACACCATACAAGAAGAGACCGGCATAGTGTGTGATTGATTGTTTTTTGTGTTAAAAGCCCTGCTGCAGAGTTATGGATCAGTGAGACAATATAATGCAGACAACCTTTTTGGAGAAATATTAAATCTTTACAAGCCAATAAAAACACTCTTAAAGACATTTTTGAGATAACCATTTTTTAGTGATACTAAGGCATTTCTGAATTATGTCTGTATTATATTAATAAGGGACAATGCACTGTAACATATTGTAACATATAAGACAAGTTCCTCACCTTTCTTTTGGTTATCGTCGTCTCCCTCCTCACACTTGGTTGCCATTACTTCAAACAGAGTCTTGAGGATGCTGCGAAGGTCACTAGCATAGTTGGTCTGCAGCTGATCAGCAACACCTGCATCACACCAGAACACATAATGGATATCAAAATGAGGCAAAGACAAAGAGGTGGACGGAGCGGAACTAACCGTGCGAGAGCTTTTACCCGATATACAAACAAAGAGACGGTGGATGAGGTCGCTGCTGCTGTGGAAGCGCGATCGGATCTTGTTCCTGGCGGCCAGCTTGGCGTTTTGCAGGGCCAGCTGGATCTCCTGATGGTCCAGGTCTTCTGACATCCCTGAGCTGGGGGTCAGACTGCTGACAGGGCTGGAGGGAGTGGTGATAAGACATTCAAATCATATTTCACCCACTGTAATCTTTAAGTTAAAAATGCTTTATTAGAAAATAAAGCATATCAAATAAAAGCAAACAAATCCACTCCCTACATATTTCACAAATTGTCAGGAAAATGCTGCTATTAAATATTCTGTACAGAACGTACATGGGGATCAATACTACAACATCTGTCTAATTAAATCTAAGCCAGGAGGCAAATGAATGCTGTCACCTGTAGCCCATATGGGAAGAGGTGACTGACAGTTCAATCGACTCCTGAATGTGAACAAAGGACTGCATAAAGACTGGAATAAACAATGCATCTTTTTATCTGTCATGCAAGGACTCAGTTTTTAGGTATTTTTTTGAGCGTGGGCAGGAAAAAGACATTCACAAATATAACAGTGACACACACACTTTCATGAGTGATGAGTTACCTGGGAGTGTATGGACTGCTTGACAGACTACATGTGGTGACCGACACACTTTCACAGTCACTACCTGACACAGAGCTGAGGGGAGAGCCCTGAAAACTAAAAACAACCAAACAAATAATAAAAAAGAGGATGAATAACAGTAGTACAGAAAAAAAATGTATAAACACAAACACAATGGTAAAAGAAACACACAGGTATAAAACTAAGGCAATATAAGGCAAAGTGCAAAACCAGAGACAATGGATGAATGCAACCGAATAAAAATATGACGAAATATGGTGAAATAAAACTATTTACGTTGACGCAAGATTGTGTAAAGATCCTACGTCCCCCAAATAAATCAAAAAGCTAGTTAAAGGACTCATAGTAATGACAGCACACCTGGAGCTCCTCGTGCTGTCCTCTTTGGTGTCCCTCTTCAAGTCTTTAGTTCCGGGCTTGTCCTTATCCGTCTCTTGGTCCCTCTGTCGGCCTCCAGTGGCCTGCTGCCTCTTTTCGTTGCACGGGGAGGGTCCATCCCCTCCACTGGAGCCAGAGTCATGAGAGTGATGCCCCGGCCATGGAGACACGACCAGGCACTTCTCACACAGCTGGGAGTTTGAATCCTCGTCCAGGGTCTCTGCCGAGCAGCGAGAAGAAGGGGGAGTCAACTGTGCGAGCTCACCCTTGCTGTGAGGCTCGTGACCTTGTTGGGGCAGTCGGCAAGCGGCCGACTGGAAGACGGCGCTGGGGGCTGCCGTCTTACAGTGGTTATCCAATCCCAGGGCGAGGCCTAACCCAAGTCCAGTGGACTCTGCAGTGATGGCATCCTCATGACCATCCTCACAGCTCCCACAACAGACACAGGAGTTGAGCAGGCAGTGAGTGGCCACCAGAGGGCCACAGGACTCAATCTCAGAGGGAGCAGGCCTTGGCAGCAGCAGCTTGTCTATGGCCAGCTCTGTCAAGCTGGGGGAACGAGGGTTGAAGATGACCGTGGCCGACAGCTTCATCCCGCCCATACGGTGGGCGATGACCTCCGCTGTTTCAGACGCTGTCCCCTCCAAGCCCATCTCCCATCCGTTGGCGTAAGGCAAAGATTCAGAGCCAGGAGCGGAAGTGCAAGGAGGGTGCTTTGCTTTAGGACAGTGTGTGTTCTGGCTGCGTGGCTGTGGGCATGGCTGCTCTGACTGGGCTTCAGTGTACCAACCGTTCCTGGCAGAGGGTGGCTGTGGTCCCAGCTTGCGCTGCACAGGACAAGCAGACTCTGGTGCTTTGGAAGGAGAGGTGATACAACGGCAGGCCTCTCTTGAAATGCTGGTGATGCCGTCTCCTGCTGCGTCCAGGTCCTCCATGAAGAAGACCTTGTCCTCCTCCTCTAAATAGATGCCTGTCCTTCCACGGCCCACCAGGAGCCTGTGGGGAGAGGCTTCAGTGCTAGAAGACCCACTGGAGCCTCCTGCCTCTCCTCTGTGGGGATGGTGTGCAGGTGACTGACCCTGGCTGGGAGGCAACAGAAAGGTGGACATTTCGTCCCCGACGCGGTACACCATCATGTTGAGCTGCTCCAGTTCCTCCTCATCGTACTGCATGGAACAGGCCAACTCAGCCTCCTCGGCCTCCTCACACAGCAGGCCCTGCTCCTGCTCCTCCCCTCCCATTTCTACCTCCTCCCAGCCTTTTTCCACTTGCGTCAGCTCCTCCTCCTGGCTGGGACAGAAAAATGGAGCCAGATGCTCCTGTTCACCCTCACTCTCCCCTTTGGAGGTGTCATTAGCAGGGCTGCAGGATGAGTGATTCTCTTGGACTGGAGCTGGTGAGCTGTCTGTGGCCTGCTCCTGGTCTATGTCTAAGTCCGCATCCTGAGTGATACACAGATTTTTTTCTAGTGTCATTAACTCCTCATCACTCAGGGTCTGGAGCAGGTCTCTGCAAAAGAATTGCAAGATAGTTGTGAAATACTGATACAGGAAAAACAATAATTTTGAAAGCTTACTTTTGTTTTTGTGATGTTCCTTATTGAAGGACTGTACCTGATTTTCTTTAATAAAGTGCGAAAAGGCCGGAAGAGCTCAGATATGTCCTCTGCTTTTCGGTCTAGGTTGAGAGGTCCGTCTGAATACACAACCAGCCCACTAAAAAAATATGTTTAAAATTCAATAAGAGGGCAGGAGAAGGTAGAAAACAAGGACGTGGGTGGAAGAATGGAAAGGATAGCCAACACTTACCATACAATGGCTAGTCTGGGAATTGTAAACATCAGTGCGGGTTCATAGTCATCGATCATGTCTTGTGTGAGATAGCCAAGCTTTAGGGCCCTTGCACAACAGAAGGGGGGGAAAAAAAACATCATTTCCAGATATTATTTCAATTGTGGTGAATTCCAGATGAAGCTAGCAGTAAACTCACCTGTCCACAGTCTCACAGAAGAGCACAATCACTTCCTGCTGTACATAATATTCTTTGGGCGACTTCACAGGCACCATGGCTGACACATAACTGTTAATGGAAGAAAAAGAAAGTTGGAATGTAATGACATTCAATGCTTTGTTTGTTTTTTGGCAATCTTGTGACCAAGAATCTTTGAAGATGATAAATGTGGATTCATCTTATTGCTACAATTGCCAATAATGTCTGGCCCTTCATTTACCTGAGCTCAAACTCAGCAAAAAGGCCGTCGAAATGTCGCAATGCGTCCTTCATACGGTCCGTGTACAAGTTGAGGTCTCTCAGGGCCTGGTCTCTGGTTATGTTGCGTACCTCCTCCAGGCTACGTGTAAGGTCCTTAGCCAGGGGCCTCATTGCTATACTCTCTATCTCCCTGTTCATGATGATGGAGCCGGCAGCCAAACACTACACACCAACACGTACATCATAAATCATCATTAAACTGAGAAAACGTATGTTTACAATGGCACACTTGACAATAAAAAAAAAAAACACTCATTTGTAAAAGTGAATGCAACATCTTTATGCACATGCGTAGGACTTGTGCAAGGTTGTTTTGTCCTAGACGGATGCTAGAGGGAATACAGTACCTCAGCCCCAAACCACAGCTGCCCTGCCAAGTTGTCATGACGGATCTCCTCTGGGAACTTGACACAGAAGTCTCTGTTGGCCCGGTCGTTGGGAATACATTCATCCATGATCTGATTGATAATGTTCAACACAGTATCCTGCAGATGGAAAAAAAAAAAAGGAGTGACAGAAAACAAAATTGAACAAACTAGTTGGAGGGATAAACATGAGCGAGTGAAAATCTGTTCCTGAAAAACAATTTTCTCAGCGTTGAGCTGATGTTAGTCAATAATCCAGGCTTCATCTCTTTCTAAACGCCCATTGTATTACAGCGTTTAAAGACCATTGATTAGCACGTGAAGTGCGTGAGACCGCTATGGCCCCTTGCAGTTACATTCTCCCTCAATAAAAACACAAAACTTAAGCCCATAATTCTAGCAGTGAAAATGCAGTGTCACACACAGCAAGAGCTAATCAAGAGCTTATGTGCCGCTGGCATGTACAACAGCCATAACAATGACTTAGAATGAGCCTTTCCCTCTACCGCAGCTGCACTGTGCACTGTAATCTCGTCAGGCACAGCACTGCGTCTTTCTCTGCTGGCCCCGAAGGAGAAAGATTAAAAAGCTTTGAGAAGGAGAGCTTAAACACTGATTCCTTTATGGCTGTGTGTGTGTGTATCTTGGCCCGGCACAAGTACCACCCCACTGTCTGTGAGCGTCTCCCAGCGGGGGACATCGATGACAACCTTCACTGCTGCTGGTTTCATATCATCAAGAGGTAGGGACTCTGGCGTGATACCTGTGCCTGACAAAAGACTGGCTTCTATCCTTATTATAGCCTACCTCCAACTCCTTTCACCATCTCTGACCTATTATCTTCCTCCGTCTCTTGTGTACGCCACCAAACTCAATCGTTGTCCATCTCAAACACACACACACACACACTGTAAGAACAGCCGTGCCGAGCAGCATGCCAGCAACCCCCCACAGAGGCCCATGAATAAGAGCTGATAGCAGCAGTGGCAGGTTCAAGTGCAAACCTTTGGCTTGAGTGCACTTGCCCTCTACTCTTGGGGCCTCGAGGCTGTGGGGTATCATACTGCTTAATTCATTCTCCCAAAAACACATGGAAGGATGCACGCTACTGAAAAAGACTCTGAACATACAAGTGCTGAGAATCATTAATCATTTTCACTGCAACTTGTAGGGTGACAAAATCGGAGACTAATTTGAGTTACAGACACATCTTAACAAGAGCTAGTCACTGAACTGCTTCTGAAATAAAGTAAGAAGAGCCTCAAAACACAGAAAAGAGAAAGAAACTGCAAAGACAAGGTGACAGATTGGCAGAGGGAAGGATGGAGGGGAAATAGACAGAACAGTTGGGGATCAAGTGATGACCTTATTAAGTGGTTCTCCCCTGTGTGCTGAGGCAGTGGGGGGGGGGAGGCTGAGGCACAACGGGCCAGATGACGACCTCCCTCCACCACCTCCAGCTCCCTCAGCGTGATGCAGCACGGCAGCCGTCACTCATGCACAGCATCACCTTCTAAGCTCCTCTCAGCCCTGACCACAACTGAACCTGTATCACCACATACAGTAACTTAACATACACTTTCATTCATAGAGTAAAAACAAAAAGAAATCTTGTTCTAAACACAATTACCTCAATCAAAGCTCCGGTTATAAAATGCCTCTCACCCAAAGAAGGCGCTCTTGTAACCATTTACCAATAACTCACATGACACACAGCCCAGTCCAAACAAAGTGTACTTATCTCCTCTTATCAGCAAAACTGCTTGATGTTAGAACCCAGGCCAAGCAATGTGGAGTAAGACAGCAGCCATATCACCACGCTTGTATCCACAAGGGGGTGATAAGCGTGGTGTCTATTTTAGCTTCTAGGTCAAAGCCAAAGGTCCAGTCAGGTGATTACGAGAACGAAAAGAATTTAAAATAAACATAGGAATCCATGTCTCAGTCAGGTGTTAGGTGCTGTAATCATTCCGCTATTAAAATTCACTCCTTTACATGCTTGAACAGGGGGAATGATGACAGCAAGCAAAACCTGGTAAGTGTTCATTTGGGCACCTGACTTTAAATACTGTGAACCTATCGTTTAACTTTACTCCAACCCAGGGCTATTTTTACGTTTTATTCATGATGAATGACTGAAATAACGGGCTGAACTTGATCCTTAATGAAATGAAAGACAGTGAGATGATGACTTTGTTGGTTTCTCGCTGCTGACCTGGCAAGAGCGGAACTGGTTGACCAACAGGGTACATCTCTGAGGGTCCTTCCTGCCGTCGAGGCCGTCCAGCTCAGTGGCCACCTGATTCAGCTCTTCATCAGCGTAGTAGAACTGGGCCAAGAGCTGAGGGTCCGTCCTCTGCACAAAAAACACAAAGAGACACAAGGAGGTCACTTTCAATAGCTGTTCATGAGAAACAATACAGACAAAGCAATGCACAGAAAACAACACAATACATTACAATCGCTGTGATGATTAATAAATGGGCTTAATACATCCCCCAACCACTCTACATGCTGTGTGTGCTTTGCTCATTCATCGACTGTGTCACAAATCACAATGTCCTCAGGCCCAGGGTGACATCTCCATCTATGTATGACCAACAGCCCCAAACCCAAAAGTATTCAGTTTAACATCATAGAAGACTAAAGAAACCTGAAAATATTCACATTTGAGATGCTGAAACCAGAGAATTTTGTTCTTGAAGAGCCTGATGATTCTGAGACAATATATTCTCTCATTTTGGATTTCTTTCATCAGTCTTACTAAAAAGCTGAAACATGACATTGGGGTTTTCTGTCACTGGATAAGTGAGTATCTATTACTATGCTAGTTATTAGAATTCGAGCACTTCATCAATTTAACAAAGCAAAGTGAAAATTTGTGAATATCAAAGCAAACCAGATTTCTATTTGACTCAAACCAGAAGAAGGGCCAAGCCAAGCCAGGATAACTTGGAAGTCGAGAGACAACATGCTTTCTGTTATCAGGGGATGACAGAAACAGAACCTAACTAAGCTGTGAGAGATATGAATAAACTCCGCAGTGTCCAAAGCCTGCTACTTCATAAGGTACGTCAATTATTAATTTCATCTGCAAAACTTACTAACTGATGTCACGCATTGAGGAAATCCGGCAACAATACAGAGTGAGGAATATCACTCCAGATGTGCTCTGTTTTGTCAGTCAGGTCTACAAGTTGCTCCGGGGAAAGACCTTTGTTCACTCATTACACTGGGTTTAATGTGTAGTGCTGGGGGGGAATTGACATGCACCCTATTTAGAGCTCTGCATGAGTGAATTACAGAGTCAGGCATGGACAGCTGCATTGTCAAGGAAAGCAGCTCTATTCTGTTCAAACTGTGGTCAAGTTAACACATGAATTACTTATTGTGTTCAGCAGGCCACCTGGTAACAACAACACTTTGGAGTTAACAGGTGGAGTATTTATGTCTGCATAGCTTCACCCACTCTGGATATAACCAACAGTGAATGTAACTCTTTGTCACCTTCTGCTTTAAGTTATAAACTATATTCTCCTGCAAATAAACAATGGAACTGAGATAGAGTGATTTAGAAGGAGCAGTCATGTCCAGGCAATAGCATAATACAGCAACATACTTCCAATCTGTATAGGGACAAAAATAAAATCAGGTAAGTAGGGCATTGTACAGGCCATCTTAACAACAGATTGTTCTCCCATTTGCCAAGGTATTCTGGCCATTTATGAACACATGAAACACAAGGCATGGGTCGTACAAACATTCACCCATAAACACATTTTCAAGTATGGGAGGTATGGTACGGCAAGTGATAAAAAATGGCAATAATCCTGACAAGAGGAGGTAACAAAGGTTAATATAGTGTGAAAGCTCCCCAGAAGAGTGAGTGTAATTAGAGAGGCTGGCCCTCGAAGAGGATTGATGTCATTATCTCCCACCATGCTCCCCTCAGAGTGTGTGTGTGTGTGTGTGTGTGTGTGTGGGTGTGTGTGGGTGTGTGGGTGTCTTGATTGTACTGCAAACGTATACTTTTATTTTGGGCAGGTCTAAGCAACACGAATGATCAATTGTTGTGTTTACACTTTTTGGTGCGTCAGTGTCTCTTCCCTACGTTGGGGGGGGGCAGCATAGCGCAGCAAATCTCTCCACTGCCGAGTGAAGCGCAGACACAGCAACAACACACAAGGTAGGGAAGAGACACTGACGCACCAAAAAGTGTAAACACAACAATTGATCATTCGTGTTGCTTAGACCTGCCCAAAATAAAAGTATACGTTTGCAGTACAATCAAGATACCAATATTTTTAATCACACCCACAAACACTTTATGCACTCACACACAAACATCCTCGGCTTAATGGTTTTTAAAATGGCGACCACATGCCGAAGTGCATGATCACAAACCACAGGGACACGATGAACTCAGAAAGGACGGCATGACTGTGCAAACTGGAAGTCGGGAAACAGGATCGTTTTGCCTGCCAATGCACGCCTCAACTGCCTGGAAACATACTTCATGAAGTCAAACCGAATACTGGTATTTACCGAAACCTCTCACAGGACCTTTTCCCTTAAGTTTGCAGTGCTTCCTGTTGCGTGATGCTCTCCCCGTGGGCCCTCGCTCCTCTCTCTGAATATGATACATGGTGCTGTTCCCTCACTCTCTCTCATTAATAATGAAACAAGCAGCAAGGAGAAAACACAGAGATCCAACCTGCAGCTCGGGTACTTGTCGCATTATTACTGTGAGGAGGGACATTTTTGTATATTTTAAAGGTTATTTGGAGGACTGAGATATGTCACTAAAATATAATCAACATGGGGAGGGCTATATTTTGACAACCTTTATGTTATTTCAATGTGATGTTTTTGGAACAACTAGTATGGTCCTTTGCTGTGTGATACTTGAGTTTTCAAATCAAAGCTGCACGAGGATGAGTTACAGAACAGCAGCGCTGGATTACAGCAGAATGTCTTTTCTTGTTCAAGGACACTTGAGTTGGTTTGTCCCACAAAGTAAAATCAATAATATTTCTGCACATGTTGTTCATGAGTGTGAATTTTGACGTCTCTGTCATGTCAGGTTTTCTGAATAAATTGGAAGAGCAATGCAGAAAATGGCATCTAATCCAAACTAAAACAGGCAACTCTGAGTCTGCATTACAGCAGGCAATAGGAAGTGATTCACACTCTCCTCAAGTGTTCTTTTTTAACAAGGTTACATACATGCTCTATTTATAAATAATTTGTGAAGAATGGGGATAGGCAGCCACGGTATTATAGCTGTAAATAGTCATGTTCATCATTGCATTGGCATTACAACAGTGGAAATCAATTTGAGTGGGTTTCTCTGAATGTGTAGGCTAATGGGAAACGAGCACAAAGGAAATCCTAATTAAACAGGGAAGCAAACAAACCCACTGTCAAAGGAGGTATTCATCTTTACATCCAACTTTAATCTCAGCAGTGAGAGGGGCAATGATATCACCGGTCAGGAGTCAGATTTGACTGGACGTTGCACAACCGTGTAACAATGAGTGAGCCTATGATACAAATGCCATGATGACCAAACAGGAAACAAGAGTGGGAGACAGCGGAAGACCGTTTTCTGGAGAAAGGCACAACACGGCCCACAAAGTGGTGGCATTCATTTCTGAAGCATATAGGCCGACATGCTGACAGAGGAAGAAAAGAAGTGTTTGATACGGACGCCATCCTATAGCTTCCTCCTGCTGCATTCCTCACACAAGAGAACATTCCTGCAGCACTGCATCATGGGGGGGAGAGTCCAAGGCAGGAAATACTCAAGACATGCTGATCTACCAGTAGCAACAGCTGTTTGTGAGCTCAACCTTAGCTTAACTATAATTCATTGATAAGTAATTCATGTTTTTAGTACATATAATTAGTAAATAATTGCACTTTATAGCTGCCAGGTGTAACTGTAAATAATTGACAAAGCTAACTTTAGTTTGCTAAAATATGCCCTGTTTAAAGTGAAAACTAAAGGAGGTAATGAGATGAGGTAGACGCATAACACTTGATTACAATGCTGTATATTAACCGGGTTAAGGGGGGGGGGGGGGGGGGGTTTAAATTACATTTCACAAAAACAACTTAACATTATGCCAATAGCGTTAGCTTGAAGGGCCAAATAACGTAAGTTAGGTTAGCATCCTGGGTCACAGCGAAAGTTAAAGTAGTAATGCTATTTTAACATCGAATAACATACAGCAACGTTAACACATCTGGCTACAATGGCCACCATAAGGGAAGCTGTTTGATGAGGCCATACAAGTCATAAAATACAAGTTTTGGCAAGTTTTGGCTTTGGCAAGAGTGGAGTAAATGGTTGAAAAAGATTGCAATGATTAAAAAAAGCTAGAAATTGCAACTTTATGAACCTCCAGACTGAGAAAAATAAACATAAGGTGACAGAAAAAGGTAACGTTAAAATGAAAAAGCTGGAAAACAATACCTTCCTACAAGTATTAAAATTGGTCTGCAAAAATGGACATTTGGGGATCTGGCCTCTGAACTTGCGGCTTGTGTCATCACCACCAATAACAGCTCTACCTCGCCTTAGTGGGGAAATGATTCAGCAGATTCAGCTCCTGTGGCGTGACACTCTCCTGCTAGACTGCTGCTGTCCTGGGTGCCCTCTCTTTGAGATGACTCAAGAACTCTATCCAATGCGGTCACAAACCCATCATTACAGACTATTAGGCTCCCATAACCGCATCCACAGTGACAATTACTCTTAAGCCCCCTCAATCACACCGTTTGACAGTGACTGTCCGTTTTGTTTAACGGTAAATCAATAGCAGGCGATGACAGTGTGACTTTTATTGAAGCGAGTTACTGAGAGTTGCCTGCTTCTGTACCATCAACATTTTCATCATCTCAGCCAGCTTTCTCCTTGAGCCGCTGATTCTGGACTTCACTTCTATTCAGAGTGCGCGGATGATGGAGGCCGTCGGGCTAGTGCTTCATGAACGTCCATAGCATCGCTGCGTGCACACTGAGCCCACTTAAGGGACTTATGAGAAACCTTGCCTCTGGCCTCCATACTCTATTCCAGGCTCAATTTGCTGCCTTCTGGCTGCCTTCCAACGATCAGAGGCAAATATTGTAGGGGGGGGGGGACCAGTTCACTCTGCTTCAGTCAGTCAGTTGGCAGACTGGCAAAAAAATAGCCGGATACAGTTCATCACCTTATTTATTATTCAGGGCTCAGCATAAAAGCCCAGGCAAGAGCAAGCGAATCGTTTTGGTAACAAACAAGGAAACTTCCTCGACCATTACTTATATTAAGTTTGGCAGAATAAAAAGTATAATCTTTCGGAGAATGCAGTG